GGGGGACACACTCAGCCGTAACCACAAGGTCAGGGGTTTGAATCCACCAGCTGCTTTCAGGGAGAAAGCTGAGGCCGTCTGCTTCTGGAAAGATTCACAACCTCAGAGACCCTATGGGGCAGCTCTGATCTGTGCTCATTTTCAGTCAGAATTTACTGGAGAGCAATGGGCTTGCTTTGGGTTTTCATCTTCACAGAAAGGGATGAGGTGGCACAGTGACTGAAGCACCTGCAAGGCCTCATCTGTCTTCTACAGTTACTGTGAATCAGGATGGACTCGGGGGCCAGTGGGTTCAGGGGGTTCTGAGAGACAGAGGATGTGGATGTTTGTACCTCAAAGGCCCTCTGCTATTTTGTGCCCCCCTCAAAAAAAACCCCACATGGAACAGAGAGAGCGAGGGTCACCAGTCACAGAGCCCACAGCAGCCTCTGCTTTCTGTCCAAGGTGGTTCAGAAGGGAGAAGACACAAACGTGTACCTGGTGCCCAGCACGGAGTCCAGAGGGAGACACAGCGTGAGGATACGAGTACGGCACAAACACGGAACCTTCTGGAGCGAGTGGAGCCCCACATTGACATTTGGTGAGCAAATGGCCCTCAGCTGGGGAGAGCTACACACAGCTGCCCCTACTAACATCTTGTCTCCTGCCTGCTCCCTGCCCCGGCTCTGTTGTATGGGAAACACAGATGTCCAGCTTCTCTACTGGTTGAGGAGCAGTGATAATTAGGTACTTATTGTCACTCACAGGCACCCTGGGGACAGCATATCTGACCTCTGTCCTGTCCACACCCTCTCTGACAGGCTCCAGCCCAAGGCTACAGACAGTGTCCATCCATCTCACAGAAGGTCTTCCTCTTTGTCTCTGACCCTCCACCTTCCCCAGCAGGATGTCCTGCTCCAAGGACTGACCGACCCCTCCTGAACACAGGCCCAAAGTGTGTGACCCCAAGTCTCCCCACACTGGCCTCTAAAAAGCCCCCTGCTTGACCTTCCTCCAAGACAGACTTGTGTGTTCTTTTGGCTGTAAGATATTCAGTGATCTTCTGCAACACCATTAATTCAGTACATAGAGATAAAATTTAAAATAGCTGATAAAGAGATGAGTAATTGCAGTGGGAGACAAAGATAGTTAGATAGATAGAATAGAGAGATAAAGATAGGTAGATAAATGATTGATAGAGAAATGATGGATGGATAGATAGAAGATAGATAGATAATAGATAGAATAGATGAATTGATAGATGATGAATGGATAGATAAGTAAATAGATGATAGCTAAGATAGGTAGATATGATAGATAAATGATAGATAGATAGATTGCTTTTAGCTCATTGCACTTGAGTAGTAATCTCCTCAGAGCAGACCCTCCATCAAGTTTCTGAGACTGTAAATTGCAGAGAAGGAGACGGCTTATCTTTGTCCTGTGAAGCAGCTGGTGGATTCGCAGCTTCTGAGTTATGACACAATTCTCCAAGGACTACACCATCAGAGCTCCCTTAGACAAGATATGGATGACACAGAGAGAGATAAGAGAAAGATATATATGTAGATCAATAATGAATGGATGGATGGGTGGGTGGATGGATAGATGGATAGGTTTGTAGATGGATGGAAGGATGGATGGATGGATGGATGAGTAAATGATTGGATGGATGTACAGATGAGTGGATGGATGGGTGATGGATGGATGGATGGATGGATGGATGAGTAAATGATTGGATGGACGTACAGATGAGTGGATGGATGGGTGATGGATGGATGGATGGATGGATGGATGGATGGATGGATGGATGAGTAAATGATTGGATGGACGTACAGATGAGTGGATGGATGGTTGGATGGATGAGTGGATGGATGGATGGATGGATGGATGGATGGATGGACGGACGGAGAGAGATGGATGGATGGATGGATGGGTGGGTGGGTGGATGGATGGATGGATGGATGGATGGAAGGAAGAATGGATGGATAAGTGGATAGATGAATGAGTAAATGGTTGGATGGATGTACAGATGAGTGGATGGATGGATGGATGGATGGATGGATGGATGGATGGATGGATGAATAGATGGATGGATTAAAGGGTGAATGTGTGGGTGCATACATGGATGGATGGATAAGTGGATAGATGAATGACTAAATGGTTGGATGGACGTACAGATGAGAGGATGGATGGATGGATGGATGGATGGATGGATGGATGGATGGATGGGTGGGTGGGTGGATGGGTAGAAAGCTATCCTCTGGAGAAGGGCTGTATCATGCAATACTATCACTCTCTGTGGAGATGATTGGACACATCCTCTCCTGGAAGCAGGTCGTGGGCAAGGAGATGACGTGGAGAAGTGGTGGCTTAGCAGAGATGCAGAAGATGGGACTGTCCCTTCACTCTCCACTTCCTTGTCTGGAGGTTCTCCCCTTCCCTCTACCCACAGTCCTGTGTCCCCTTCCCCTTCCACGACCCCCTACTCCACCATCAGACAAGCAGATGCCCCTAGGACTTTCTGTTCCTCTTCCCCCAGGCCTTCCAGAGGAGCACGCCAACTACACGGTCATGATTGTGCCAGCTGTGGTGGCCACGATGGTGGCTGCTGTGGTCCTGATATTGCTTTTCGTAAGGTAATGACTGTCAGCACGTTGCTGGGGTAAGAGGTCAGACGGAAGAGTGTTCAAAGCCACATAGACAGTGGTCCAGCTAGCGTCATATAGATTAGTGTATGAATAATGGGTGTGTGAGTGAATGGATGGATAGATAGATGGGTGGTGGGTGGGTGGATGGATAGGTGGATAGATGGGTGGATGGATGGATGGATGGAAAGTGGAGGGATGGATGGATGGATGGATGGATGGATGGATGGATGGAGAAATGGGTGGGTGAATGGGTGATGGATGGATGGATGGAGAAATAGGTGAGTGGAGAGATGGAGAAATGGATGGATGGTGGCTGGATGGATAGATGGATGGATGGATG